CTCTAATAGTCTCCATCTCCTGGTACTCATGCCCTTTTGTAATGCCCTTTCCCTGAGCGTGAGTAAAACCTGTAACTTGCTTCCAACCAATCACATCTCAAGATAACATCATACAAGATTGTAACTCATCTTGCTAGAGACTCTCTTCCTTACTGGTTTTCATGAAATGAGCACCAGTGTTGTGAGCTGCCCTATGGAGAGGCCCACGTGGGAAAGAGAGCAACCATCAACCAAAAGCCAGCAAGAAACCAAGGCCCTTGGTCTAAGAAGCTAAAAAGAACCAACTTCTGCCAACAACCACTGTAGATCTTTCTACAGCTGAGCCTTGAGATGAGACACAGTCCTAGCAAACACTTTGACCTCGGCCTGTGAGGGACCCTGGAACAGAGAACCCATCTAAGTCATACTTGGACTCTTAATCCACAGAAACTGTGAGATAACAAATCTGTGTTATCTTAAGAGGTGGGTTTTGTGGTAATTTATTACTCAATTTCTTTCTGATTTTTCTGTACATAAAATAAAAACTTATTCCTCAGCAATAGATAAATAATACAATGCCACTGTATAATCTCCTTCCCTTGAGAGGAGACTGGACACTGGGACTCATTTCTAATAAATACTATACAGCAAAAGTGTTCAGATGTTACTTTTGAGATCAGGTTAACAAAAAGACTGTGGCTTCCATCTTAGGCATCTTGTCTCATTCTCTCTCTTCTCTTGATCTCTCACTCTCTCCTGGAACAAGTTGGCTATGATGTTGTTGGGGGGCAGCCCTGTGGAGAGGCCCTTATGGTGAGATACTGAGGTGTGACAACAATCATATGAGTGAGCTCAGAAGCTAATCCTTCCCAGTTGAGACTTCAGATGAAACTGTAGTCCCAGATAACAGTTATGCTACAAACTCATGAGACATCACGGGCCAGAGGCACCCAGCTAAACCACACCTAGGTTCCTGATTCCCAGAAGCTATGAGATAATAAATGTTTGTTAATTAAAGCCACTAAGTTTTAGAGTAATTTGTTACACAGCAATAGATAACTAATACAATATCTACACTAAAAATGACCAAACACTGAAAGAAATTTTAGACTCACTACTAATAAGATGTCTGTTTTTCCCCATTAATCCATACTTTTAATACAATTCCAATAAAAATCCCAGAATTATAGAAATTGACAAGCGGGTTCTAAAATCTGTAGGGAAATGTGAAGGGCCCAGAATAGCCAAAACATTTTTGGAAAAAACAGAATTGAAGGATTTATGTTATATGATTTCAAAACTTACATAAAGCCACAGTAAGGAAAAAAAAAAGTGTGATATGGGTAGCCAAATAACATCAAGTCAAGAAATAGACCCATATTAATACTTTGTGACAAAGACATCAAAGCAATTCATTGAGGAAAGGAAACTCTTTTCAACAAATAGTATTAGAAGAACTGTGTATCCATATAAAAAATAATAAAACTTAACCTCTACTTTTCACCATGCACAAAAATTAATTTGAAGAGGATCCTAGATCTAAACATAAAAAATAAAACTATAGAGTTTTTAGAAGAAAACACTATATAATATCTTCAAAACTTGGGAGCTAGCAAAAATTACTTAGCATAGAGAAAGCAATAATGATAAAAATTAATGTTAAACTTCATGAAATTTAAAACATCTGCTCATCACAAGATGCCATTAAAGTAAATGAGCAAGCCAAAGACTGGGAAAAATATATTCATAAGGCATATTTGGCAAAGGCCTTCTATCTAGAATATGTAAGTACATCCTACAACTTAACAAAATGACAGAAATTCTGATTAGTGGCTAATAAGTATATACTACACATCATTAATCACAAGAAAAATGCAAATTGAAACCAAAGTAAAATACTTCCACATACACTAGTATAGCTAAAATTAAAGAATGACAGAGCAGATGTTGGTCAAGATGTGGAAGAATTAAAACTCTCATACAGTGCGGATGTAAGTATAAAAGAATATACTCACTTTGGAAAATGGGATCAGCAATTTCTCAAAAAACAGTGGCTCTCAAAGTGTGATTCCAGCACCAGCAGCATTAGCATCACCTGGAACGTGTTGGAAATGCAAATTCTCCAAGCCCACCCAAGATAGAGTGAATTAAAAACTCTCAAGATGGGGCAAGCAATATGTGGTTACCAGTCAACCAGATGATTCTGATGCATGCTGAAGTTTAAGAACACTGTTAACACAGTTAAACACGTACCTACCCTATGGCCCAGCAATTTAATTCCTAGGTATTTACAGGAAGAAATGAAAATATGTGCCCACAGAAAAGACTTGTACAAGAATACGTATAGTTGTTTTTTTCCTAATAGTCAAAAACTGGAAACAACCCAAATGTCCATCAACTTAATAGATTAAAAATTGTGGTATAGGCTAGGCACAGTGGCTCACGCCTGTAATCCCAGCACTTTGGGAGGCCAAGGTGGGTGGATCAACTGAGGTCAGGAATTTGAGACCAGTCTGACCAAAGTGGTGAAACCCTGTCTCTATTAAAAATACAAAAATTGGCCAGGCATGATAGCGCATGCCTGTAATCCCAGCTACTTGGGAAGCTAAGGCAGGATAATTGTTTGAACTCAGTGGGGGGAGGCTGCAGTGGGCCAAGATCTCACCACTGCACTCCAGCCTGGGCAAAAGAGCGAGACTCTGTTTCCAAGAAAACAAAAAAAGTGGCATATTCAAATGACACAAAGTACTTAATAGTTTAAAAGAATGAACTATTGCTACTCTTGACAACATAAACCTCACAGCCATGTGCTAAGCAAAAGAAGCTGCGCATAGTACATGATTCCATCTGTTTGAAGTTCTATAAGAGACAAAAGGAACAGCAGAGGTGGGAGGCACTGACTACAGAGGGTACAAAGGAAGTTACTGGCGTGACGGAAATGCTGTATCTCTCAACTAGAGTGTATGCATGTAAAAATTCACTGAATAGTACACAAGGCTTTTATATTTCATTGCATATAATATTTTTTAAACTGGGTGCATATGTGTCCAGGGAAATAAGATTTTCCCAAAATATGTTCTCAGAAACACTAGTCCTGAGACCTGTATATACCATGTAAAGCAAAAGGTTCCACAGTCCAACAAGTTTGGGGAACAGCTGATACATAAAACATAGCAAGATGATGATTTGATAATCTATAACCCAGTTACACTTTATGCAATCTAAAATAAATAAGCTTACTTTTGAGACATTCACAGAAACTGCAGTTTTGACATTATTTGTCTATTTCTTGTTTTATTCTAATTTAGCACAGTAAATCATAAGTAACGTTGGGAGACAAACTCTCTCAAACTTGATAGTGCCAACTTCTGATGAGAAAAGAAAACTAGAAACTAATTGAGACACATCTGAGTTTTCAAATAATATGTCTAAAAATCATTTTAAATACACCAAAATTCCGAAGTCACCATCAAAGTTTCTGCTGGAAACAAACCCTGAACAATTTCTTCAAAAAAAACATGAGGTTATATCCTAGCAAGCCTACAATCAAGTTTTTAGAAGAAAACTTTTATTTATTACTTTAAATATTAATTAATGCTGACTGCTTCCAGTAATACCTATTAAATTATAGCTGTATTCCCACACAGCTAGTAATGATTTATTTTCTTCTCAGAATAGGGATTATAAAAAGTTTTATAAGATCACTGAAAGAACAGTCTATAAAGTCTGTGTGAAGTAACAGTATCTATATTCCCATTAGAAGCTTTTTCAAAATAGTGAATTGTATTAAATCTTCTATCCCTCAGGCAGCAGGAGAAAAGGGGAGAAAACCTTCATTTCTCTATAGGGAAGTTACAGGAGGCCAAGGAGTTACAAAATTATTTCAGAGATAAAAGAACATTAGGAAACATTTATTTCATTTTCTGATAAAGAGACAATGTAAACTTCTACATGATTTTCTAAGTACTGGTTTATGATTACTCTTAGGCTGGCAATTTTTCCATTTCCGCTGCGTTTCTCTCCCATAGCACATTCTCATAGTGTCATAATTCAAAACTCAACTTTACCCCTTGCTAGCTGTGGGACCCCGGAAAAGACAAACTAGCTGAGCTCTGTTTCTTCATTTACAAAACAGGAATAATATCAATCTTACAAGGCTGCTGCAAAGATTAAAATGAGATCAAAAAAATAGAATAATCAAGGCTCACTACATAGGAGAGGAAGCATCTCCACACCATATATTCAGAGTGCTGTATGTCTTCAAGAGAAAATAAACAAGCCCAGCAAAGCCAAAGACAAACGCACCCCGCAGGAGGGCAAAGTATACACGCACTGCCTCTTGTCATGTGGACTTGGAAGCAACTCTTGAAGCAACATCAGTTGCTAGGTCCATTCATTAAACCTAAAGTAAATAAGTTACTTTTGAAAATATTTCACAAAATTCGTATTTTTGACATTGGTTTGTCTATTTCTTGTTTTCCTCTAACTTATTACAGTAAATCATAAGTAATCTTGGGAGACAAACACTCTTAAAATTTATCTAGGTCTATTTAGGTATAGATGAAAAGAAAAGACTAATTTCACAAATAGCACATAATGATAACAAAAGTTAAGCTAGAACAGTTCTTTCTTAAAATGCTAGAGTAAAAAAGAGATGAGAAAAACAACCAGTAGGGAAATGATTAAAAATTCATCCCCATGTTTACAAGACCAGAATTTCACCAAGAGTCAATCTGTATGTATTTTGTCTCACAGACCAATTCTTGTTCCAATCTTGTCTCTCCTCTAATGCCTTATTATGAATCATAACTTTTTTTTTAAGTTCTCCTCCACATCTTTGAAATTCATCCATGAGGCCAGTTTTCATTTTATTCTCCCTCTTCATGTGACTTGGCTCTCCCTCTAAAAACATCAAAAGCAGTTGTGGGCTAATGATATTCCACATTTAGATTAGTTCTAAGGCATTAAATAAATTATTGAAGTTGTCCTTTAAATAAAAAGTCACTATATGAACATCATACCAGATGGAAGATCATCCAAGGGAAATTCAAACAGTCTGGATTTGTAAACCGAATGAAAATGGAAATCCTCCTGAAATGCCTGAAATGACACAAGCAACAATGATTAAGCATGTACAACCGGATTATCTCCAGCCTTAGGCAAATGTAGCTGGAGACCCTTAAAAGAACCACAGCTTGCCTATGCATTCTCCTGGGTTTAGAGAGGCAATGAACCATTGCCCAACCCCTCCTATTCGCTCCTGTATTCTCCCAGCACCAGAGCAATATCCAATTAGAAGAAAAATGCCTACACAGAGAAGCCAAGGCCTACAGTAATGGAAAACAAATGAATGAATCTATTCCCCCAAGGACAAATAAAACATTTGGCAAATGAGTTAATGCTTTTTTATTACAGGTTCCTTTCACGGATCCCTGCACCCTTTTAAAAGTCAGACAGCTTTGGTAGGCAAAGACTACAGAGCTAACAGTCCATGGACCCTGTTCTGAAATGCAAGTGTCATACAAGCTATATTAAAAAGCATGAGATAAAAAGTCACATTTTTCTTCTACAAAATTAATAAACATTCAAATATAATTTCATCTGGCTTCATCCAATTATTTCAAAAAAATAGAATGTCATAAATAGCCAGTTTTTTTTGTAAGCCAGTTTTTTTTTTTCTGTAAGCCAGTTACCTTACAAAAATCGTACCATCAAGCAAAGTGGCAGGACAGGCAGCAGTGGGTACCCATAAAATAATATACAATACAGAGAATTTCCCAGACAAGACGGTTTATGGGTGACAAAACCACGTACATTCCTTGAAAGGACTTGCCTCTCTGTTTGACTAATATTGTATGATAAAAGGAAGAACATTTGTGTGTACAGAGCTAGAATGAAAGTGTATTATGTTTCTTTGTAGTCTATAATATTAATTCAACTTCTTCTAATTGGTGGAAAATGAATATTTCAACTAAAGTGAGGGAGACAATTAAGAATACTCAGGTTTCTCTAAAATTCATCAGCAAAGGGCCTTAAAAGCAACAGACAACAGAGAAAAATCTGGAATCTAGAAAAGAGAGGAGGGGTGAAAAAACACATCTATGTGGATTTCATCTCTTATGAACTGAATGTATGTGTGTCCCCAACATTCTCATATTGAAGCCCAAGTCCCCAGGGTGATTCTGTCTGGAGATAAGGCCTGTGAGGAGATGATAAATATTAAGTGAGGTCATAAGGGTGACACCCTCATTCAGTATAGCTGGTATCCTTATAAGAAGAAGAGACAACGAGAGTTCTCACTCTCTCTCTGCCATGTGAGAACAGTGAGACAGCAGCAGTCTGCAACTCAAGCAGAGAATCCTTACCAGATGTCAACCCTGCTGGCACCTTGATCCTGGATTTTCAGTGGCTAGAACCATGATAAAGCAAGTTTCTGTTGTTTAAGCAATCAAGTCTACAGTATTATGTGATGGTAGCCCAGTCAGACTAAGACAGATCATAAACATTAGGGTGGAGATGGAAATAGAGGTTTCAGAATACCTCAAAGGGAAAGTATTATATTTCCAATACAAAAAAGAAAGAAAGAAAGAATTTTATTTTCTTTTGAGACAGAGTCTCACTCTGTTGCCCCGGCTAAAGCACAGTGGCAGGCCATTCAAGCAATTCTCCTGCCTCGGCCTCCTGAGTAACTGGGATTACAGGCACATGCCACCACACCTGGCTAATTTTTGTATTTTAGTAGAGATGGGGTTTCACCAAGTTGGCCAGGCTGGTCTCAAACTGCTGACCTCAGGTGATCCGCCTGTCTCAGGCTCCCAAAGTGCTGAGATTACAGGCATGAGCCACCATGTCTGGCAAGAAATTTTTTGAAAAACAATTGCGGTTCTGACTTACTCAATATTTAGTTTTAAACATACAGACAGTCGCCAGTTTACATGTTTTTGACTTTATGATGCATTTATCAGGGTATTAAATACATTTTTGACTTACGGTATTTTTAATTTATGATAAGTTTATCAGGACATAGACCCATCATGAATCGGGGAACATCTGTACATATGTTTACTATCCTAGCGCTAAAAAATATAAAAATGAAATACAGAGAAAAAGGGGGAGGAAAAAGCTCTCAGCATAAACATTTCCATTTGACACAACAAATAAAAGAAGTACTTACTTGAGTAGTATCATTTTCTTCTGGCTCAATGCGATACGTGTGGTTCCCGTCATAGAACATCCCACTGCCAAGGACAAGAAAATATTTAGTCATGGCTAACGACTCTCACCCCAGAACAAGATCATTTTAAAATCAGCAGCAGCCAGAGGACCCATTTTGCTTCTCAATGCTCATTTCCCAGTCCTACCCATCACCTCCAGACATACCACACAAACTGCTGAGAGGAAAAGGACCCTCCTTCTGATTCCTTATAAATAGAGTCACCTTATGCTCAGGATTACCATGCTCTAGCTGTTGCTCATTATTCCTCCTTCTAACACAGAATTCCAAGATTTTAATATGAAAAAGCCACTTGGAGAGCTACTAAAAACGCAGGTTGTTCAGGAGTCTTCTCAGATTTCTGGACTGGGACCTAGGAAACTGCATTTTAAATAAGTCCCAGGTGATCCTGATGCAGGTTTTCAGGGACTCTACTGAGAATGACCTATCTAACATACACATGCAAGATGTTCTAGTAAGAAGAGCTAACACATTTGAACAACTTGCCACAAGCTAAATACTTTACACTCACATTTAATCTTTTCCACAAATCTACAAGGGAAGTACAATGACTATCCTTATTTCACAGGTAAGGAAACGGAAGCCAAAAGAGATAAAGCAACTTACCAAATTATTTAACCAGCAAAAGCAGAAGCAGGAATAGAGCCCAGACAGATGGGACCATAAACACCCCATGTGCAACCTGCTACCTACCTGCATTCATGCATTCATTCATTCAATCAACATGTGTTTACAGAGCACCTACAATGCGCTGCTCTAAGTGCTGGGGAATACAGTAGCAAACAAAACAGACCAATTCTCTGACTTTGTGGTGCTGATGAGTATTCTAGGGAGGATATATAATAAACAAATAAATATATAAATATACTAGATAGTGATAAATTCTAGGGAAGAAAATAATCAAGTGAAGGGCAGCAATAAATGGCGCCAGAGGGCCGTGGGGGCCACACTAGGTGGGCACCTCCTAGGGCCTTAGCTTTTACTCTAAGAGAGGTGAAGAGTCACTGCAAGGTTCTAAGCAGAGGGGAAACACAGTCTTCCTTAAGTTTTATAATGATCACACCAGCTTCTGTGTTACAATGATTTTTAGCACAGAAGGATAGAAGCTGGGAAGTTACTGCAATAATCCAGGTGAAAGAAGATGCTGGTTTAAATCAAAGCAGTAATAATGGAGGTGGTGAGAATTGATCAAATTTGGGATATATTTTGAAAGCAGAACCAGTAGGATCTACTGCTGGATTTGAAACCGGGTATGTAAAAAAGAGAAGAGTTAGTGGAGACTCCAAGTTTTTACCTGAGCAAATGGAAAAATGGAAGTGCCATTTAAGGAGATAAAAAAGGATGTGATGGATTAAGACCCTATCTCAAAATAAGGGTGAGGGAGAGGGCGGACACAGAAAGAGCCTATCGGGATGGGCCTAGGGAAGCAGGGAGCTGAGAGAAGGATGCAAATCATTCAAGATTTCAGTTTTGAGCTGGGCGTGGTGCTCACATCTGGAATCCCAACACTTTGGAAGGCCAAGGCGGGGGGATCACTTGAGGCTAGAAGTTTGAGACCAGCCTGGGCAACATAGTGAGAGGTGAGATTCTCTCTCTACAAAAAAAAAATTTTTTTTAATTAGGTGGGCCTGGTGATGCACACCTGTAGTCCCAGCTACTTGGGAGGCTGAGGTAGGAGGATCACCTGAGCCCAAGAGTTCAAGGCTGCAGTGATTCATGACTGTGCCACTGCACTTCAGCCTTGGTGACAGAGCAAGACTCTGTATCTCTTTAAAAAAAGAAAAAGAGTTCCATTTTGGACCTTGTAGGCTGGAGGTGGCTAGCAGGCATCTGAGAAATCCTCTGGAGAGCATTTAAATATACAAATGGCCTCAACTCCTACTCAGACAGATTCTGATAAGCTGTTGCTTTTAGAAGAACATGATCCTTTTACTAAGATCAGGCCCCTTATGATGTTAAAGAAATTTGTCTTATCATTCAGGCATCTGAGGGTAGCAAAGCTATGAGCTTCTGTAGTAATGTTTTTAGTTTTTGGTGGAAATGACTATATGACAGCCAAGCTGCTAAACATAAACTAGTATTTGTCTTTCATTGAAGCTTTAGTGAAATTGGTTGGCTTCTATGAACTATAAGTACAATGGCCTCCAAGTTCTGCCTCTATCCAAATTCTTTCACTTCTGCTATAACATCTTCCACATGTCCTTAACTTCTACATACTCACAGAATGATTATTCTCACATCTGCACTGTTTTCAGCCACATGTACCTTCTGAATTTGGATGACATTCTATTTGGAACGTAAACAGATGCAGTCTGTAAGGTATTACTGACAATATGTGCCCAAGGAGTCAGAGCAGGAGCCTTTCAAAACAGTAGACCAAATATGGCAGGCAGCATCTCTCTACCCTTGCTGAGAACTGGCCAGAGTGACCTGGAAACTCCTATGAAACCATTACACTTTGCCAAAATTCATGTGGCAACACCAACAAAGTAGCAAGAAGATTATTTTGTTTAAAGAGTACTGAGTGTTATTTATCCTTACATTAGGTTAATGTCCAATGGGAAAGTCATTTCTTTTTATTGGATTTAAACATCATGTAGGCAATATAAAGACAGATTCTGACACTAACCTCGAAAGACTGTAGATTGCTATATGATAATATACCATCATTAATTTCTTAATAATGAATGAATACATGTGTTTTATATGCTTTGAGGATTCAAATAGTTTTGTTTTTTATATAAATACTAATTTTTACATTGCATCCATAACAGTATATACTTGATAAAAATCTATAGCTAGGACCAAGTTGTCACAGATCAACTGAATTAAAATTTCAAAAAGCTGTATCATAAAAAGATTTTCAAAGGAAAAAGCCATTCTTACAAATTTCCACAAGAGGGCAATAAACTCACACTTAACTCCATTATTTAAGGTTCCAATCATTACAGGATTTTTGTCATAACACAAAACACACCAGCACCAAAACACTGCCTAACAGTCCTTCGAATCTAAGGAAATGTGACCTTGCAGGTTCTTTATGGTAAAGATATATGAATCTGACTTTCCCTTCTTTATGTTATTCAACTGAATTTAATAAATCAAAAATGAAAAAAACCTCAATACGCATTTGGTAATTTATAAGGGATGAGTCATGGATGACATAATATATCTCATATCTAAAACACTGTAATTGAGCTGACATACATTATTCAATATTTCATAACATCTCCCCAAAATATTTCTTCCAGAAATTTTTGTTCTTAAGGTAAAGCCAAGATGAGAAGTAATAATTGCTGAATAACAAGATGGTACAAGGGTATATTTATCCTGCATGCTCATAAAAGTCTGAGAAAGCCTAAAATGGTCGTACACAATTCTGACAATGTTCCAAGATGCATAATAGGTTTTCTATTTTTATTTAGTTTTAAATTAAAACATTCCTAAAAGCAGAAGTACAATTTACTTAATTAAAATAATCCTGAAATCCTAGCACTTTGGGAAACTGAAGTGGGCAGATTACCTGAGGTCAGGAGTTTGAGACCAACCTGGCCAAAAGGCAAAACCCCAACCCTACTGAAAATTCAAAAATTAACCAGGTACGTGTAATCCCAGCTACGCAGGAGGCTGAGGCACAGGAATTCCTTGAACCCAGGAGGCAGAGGTGGCAGTGAGCTAAGATCAAGCCACTGCACTCCAACCTGGTGACAGAGTGAAACTCCATCTCAAAAAAATAAATAAGTAAAATAAAATAAAAAATAAAAAATAACCAAGGCAGGATTCTGAGTTCTATGTCTGATTCAGTTACTATACAAGCTCCTAAAAGTTATTTTTCAATCCTTCTTTACATAACTATAGTAGGATTAGTAGCAGGTATCATTCATCGGTTCTCAGGTTAATTTATAGCCCTTAGAAGGAATAAATATCTTCTCTCTGATTCTCATAACATCGTGTCCATTTGGAAAACCAGAAGGCAGACTGGAACAAGTACTGAGAAAGATGCTGACACTATGACTTTGGATTGAGAGTTTAAGAGGGAGAGAGGGGAAAAAAATCTCATTTTTTACATCACTCTTCCCTCCAATATACACTTGCTGTCACAAATGTGGACAGGTCTCACTGTACTATTCCTAGTGACAGATGTGCTTGTCTTCAGCGCATATGTAACAATTTCACTGCTGAAAGGGACTTCAATGTTTCTTTTTCCTAATAAGAAAACAGAGATGGCCTGATATTAAGCATGGATTCCATGTTTGTAAAAATCTCTTTCTTCAAATAATGTATTTAAAGTAAATAAATGTACACATTTATTTACAGTAGTCTTTTAGCACAAACAAGGAAATGGAAGTCTTCCATGCTCTCAGGCACATGGCCTCCTGTCTCTGGTTATTTAACTTCTCCTTATATTCGTCTTTCCTTTCTGCCTAATATGATTACTCCCAGATCCTGATCAGAGGTGTCACTCAGGCAGACTAGCTGGATTTTCTGCTGTGTCCATTAGATCTCTTTCCTAGATTTAAGATCTGTCAGTGTAATACTCTCCTTTGGATACGCTATTCCAGCCTTCTGCACTCCACCGTCCTCAGGTGGAATGTCTCTGGAGCCCTCAGGTGCCACCTGTTCTTCAGAGACAATGCTTAGCTTGTATTTTTCTCAGTTTTTTTTTTCCTCTCTCACAAAAAAAAGTGTGTACATATATATATATATATATATATATATATATATGTATATATAATGTTCCACATCAGGAAATTGGGCTAGACTTGGCTTCCCCATGAGACTGTGAGCTCCCAGGACTTGTGTTTCAATCACCTTAATTTTCCTAGGACTGGCACACAGGAGACACTCAGTAACTGCTTGTTAGATGAAAAGCCACATCTCTAACTGGCAACAAAAAGGAATTATCTTAAAATTTCTCAGCAAAAATTTAACAAAACTAAAGTGCTGGCTTGTTCTGTGCCAAAAAGTAAAAGCAAACAAGAAGGAAATGAAATTATTTAGTTAAATGAGAATGCTGAGGAATGACACGGTAGCTTTATAAGGGTTACAAAACAAACAAGAAACCACCACCTGTGCATCATCATTATCGACAGGATGGAGGAAGTGGATGTATCCCCACGATAAACATCAACAAACATTATTGGATAGTGAAGGTTATGAGAAAGGAAGCAAGGCCCTGAGGAAGGATGAACTTTGCTTCTTGGAGATCTCTGAGAAATGACAGGCCCTCCCACAAATTTGCTATGAGTTAGGTGGGATTCTGGCTGAGAAAAAGGGCAAAGACATATGAGCTCTTAGGTTACCAGCAGCCTTTTCTCTTTGTGTAGGTTTCATTTACCGAAATTTGTATTATTTGATGAAATGAAAATATAAAAACTAATATCAAGAAGAAGTAGGAGTGTATCAAGGGGCCAAACATCCACAGAAACAGACACTGAAGTTAAACCCCCAAACCACTCCTGTCTGAATTGGAATGAAATTAGAGGTATACTTCAAATATCATTTTAAGGTATCATTGTGAAATTCCAAAGCCTCTGTTTTCTGCAACACTAATTTTATTTGAGATGGAGTCTAGCATCTTCTTAATGTATATTTCTTGTCCTTTTTTCTTGACAATATATATTTTTTCTTTATTTTGAAAAATGTAGAACTTTTCATTTTTTTTTTTTNTTTTTTTGGAGTCTGAGTCTCGCCGTATCCCACAGGCTGGAGTGCAGTGGCGCGATCTCAGCTCACTGCAATCTCCACCTTCCAGGTTCAAGTGATTCTACTTCCTCAGCCTCCCAAGTAGCTGGGATTACAGGCACCTGCCACCATGCCTGGCTAATTTCTGTATTTTTAGTAGAGACAGTGTGTCACCATGTTGGCCGGGCCCTCAGGTGATCTGCCCACCTCGACCCCCCAAAGGGCTGCGATTACAGGCATGAGCCAATGCACCAGGCCATTTGCAACTCTAATTTAAAAATCGGCTTGGTTTATAAAACACAAAAGAGAAACAAATCAGATCCATCACTGATTTAAAATTATTTCTTGACACAAAATAGGGATGTCTACTATAGTGCATTCATAATAAAGAAAATAAATTCTTGAAAAAATAAACAGTACAAGCAACTTTTTGAACACTTACTGAAGTCCGTGGCATGTTGACAACGCAACAAATGAGTCAGGATTACCTCGGATATGGCCCTGGTAGTAACAGTGCTCTCCTCCCTGAAAACAGAAATAAAGAATGTAAGCCTTTGCATCACACAGAGAATCAGCTGCTTCATTTCATAGGAGGTTTCTACTCACGATGCACCTCCATCCACATCTAGAGCTCTGTATGGCATTTCATTATTCACATTAGCATTATTAAACCATTTTTAACAGAATTATTCATAAACACTCTGAGTAAGCTGGCTCCAAATCAAAAGACAGGGAAATAAAAGTTGACTTAACCTTTCTTTTATGTAGGTAATATTAGAGAAACAAAGAAAGAGATATTGAAATACACATGTGGAGTCAGGCACAGTGGCTTGTGTCTACAATTTCAATGCTTTCAGAGGTGAGGCAGGAGCAACACTTAAGACCAGAAGTTCAAGACCAGCCTGCGCAACACAGCAAGAACCTGTCTCTACAAAAAAAATTTTTAAGTTAGCTGGATGTGGTGGCATGTACCTGCAGTCCTAGCTACTTGGGAGGCAGAGGCAGGAGGATCATTTGAGCCCAGGAGTTAGAAGCTGCAGTGAGCTGTGATGCCACTGTACTCCAGCCTGGACAAAAAGAATGGAAATTCTGTCTCAAAAGAAAAAAGGAAAAAAAAGACAAGAAAAGAAAGGAAATACATATGTGGCCCTTGCACCAAAGTTTAATCATCTGTTTTTTTAGTTATAAGAAACTCAACCATGGTCTGGTGCAGTGGCTCACACCTGTAATCCCAGCACCTTGGGAGGCTAAGGTGGGTGGATCACTTGAGGTCAGGAGTTCGAGACCAGCCGGGCCAACATGGTGAAACCCTGTCTCTACTAAAAACACAAAAACTAGTCAGGTGTGGTGGCGTGCACCTGTAATACCAGTTACTCGGGAGGCTGGGGCAGGAGAATCACTTGAACCTTGGCAGTGGAGGTTGCAGTGAGCCGAGATGGCACCACTGTACCCAGCCTGGGTGACAGAGTGAGAACCTGTCTCAAAAAAAAAAAGAAAAGAAAAGAAAAATAAGAAACTCAATCATGAGCAGCAGCAAAGCAATGGTCTTTCACACAAAGCTAAATAAAAATAAATATAAATCATTTGAGAGTCACTAAATTATACTGATGGAGGAAATGCTTGTTTTTACAGTGTTTATATCAAAACTTGACTACCAGATAACAAGTTCATACCATTCTTTTCTCAAAACACCAATGGCTTTACTGGTAAGCAGTTTATGGGGAGGGTTTTAAATTGTGAAGTTTCTCTTAGCATCCAATTGCATTAACAAAATTCTACTAAGAGAGATTCATTTATTTGGATTAACCGTGCCTGGAAAAGTTAATATGTAAATCCTCTGCCATCTTACGATGTCACCTTTAAATACTTACTACTCAGAGTTCAGTTCAGAGACCAGCAGCATTGACATCACTAGGAGCTCATTAAAAATACAGAATCTCAGGCCCCATCCCAGACCTACTGCATGAGAATCTACACTTAACAAGTCCCTACGTGATTCATATGCACATTAAAGTTTGAGAAGCTCTTTTCTAAATGACCTCTTCCCATTCTCTCACTGATCTATTTCTTCAGTATCTGAAAGCTTCTAATTAAATTGACTCACTGAGATATGAAAGAGTGAAACAGAAAGGACTGATAGGATGGGTGGTTTCAGGAGGCAAATGTTACCTACTTCACAGTTTGACTTAAGGACTAATGCTATTTTAAATGTTCAGAGTTTCACAAATGGAGGAGAGAGAATAGGATGAGCTGGAGATGTAACAGGCTGAAGACATTTTCTTCACCAAAAATCCAAGGAAAGCAGCCTGAACTGTGACTACTGCTCTGAGATAATCCCACAGAAGCGGGTAACTCTCAGCATTGGACGGTGGTGGTGGAGAGCAGTTTAAATACACAATGCAATGCCTGACCTTAAACCACCACCAAATTCCCAGGGGAGCCACTGACCATCATGAACTGAGGCCTGTGGTTGCATTTAATGGAGAAGATAGGGTGGTACTCCACATCTGGGTTGCACAGGGACTGGAACCCAGAAAGCCACAGAGACTTGGGGGCTGAAACAAGTCCTTGACACTAGAACACAGGACACTGACTTCATGTGGAGGGCTGTAACATTCCACTATAGGAGTGAACTATAATTCATTTACACAGTCCTGTACTAACGGACATTTAGATAATCTACTTTTTTGCTGTCATAATGTTGCAACAAATATCCCTTCATCTATTTCTGGGAATTCTATCAGTATATATGCAGGAGAAAGTACTAGCGTACATGCTAACAGCATGAGCTATTGGCTCCTTCCCTTACCTGTTGTAATCTTAAACAAATTACAAAGACTGCCCCTGCATCAGTTTTCTCATCTGTCAATTGGAGATAATTATCTCATAGGGCTGTTATGAGGATTAAATTAGCTAATAGACATAAAGGGTTTAGAGTAATGCTTGGCCCATAGGAAGTACCCAACAAATGTTTGCTGCTATTTGTGTCTATTAGAGTTCCTACTCAATTTACATACACAATCATACTAAATCTTCGTATCAATCCTACAAAGAAATATTCTTATCCCTATTCTAGATAGGAACCACAATCTGAGATTGTGGCTGTCTACCTGGGAAGTTGCCAAGTAGGGATGAAAACTTTAGGTGAATTCAAGGCCTGTGTCCTTTCACCTAACCTGTGAGTTATGCAAGGCAAATCTAAACTTTCCCCTAGGCTGGTTTATTCTTCTACTCTGTTGTGTGGTATTCTACTATCTGAATAGGGATAAGGGTAAATTTAACCAAAGTTAGAAAAGTGTGTGTTGGGCTGTCAGACTGGTGAATGATCCATAGATTCGATTCTGAGTTTATGAGAGGACATCATTGCTTAGATGCCCCTGATTTCCTAGATACATCTGATTGGATCAGAGATCAACACTCTAGCTTTGTGTTGGCCAGACATTAAAGGTCAACAGTCAACAGATGACCTGATAAAGACAGAACTCTGTCTATAAGTGTTTCCCTATATTGGAAAGTGACTAACCAAATCAGACCCTCTCCTCTTAGAAGTCTAAGACTCATAGTGAACAGTAGCACATAAAGATAGTAGAAACAAAGATAAACAAAGAAAAGTAGAAACAAACAAAAAAAATCTTGAGAATTATGGTATCAGACTAGAAAACAATGGAAATTGATAGTCATGAGGATATATGTCAGTGTCAACACATACTATTTTATAAATTACTAAAGTTTTCTTCAAAAACACAACTCTGGAAACATGTCATATTAAATCATAAAAAGGACAAATAATTTATTTTTTAAAAACATTCCTCCATTATATTGGGGAGAGTTATACAGATGATTCAATAATGGAAAACAATCTTTCATTAACCTCTGATTTGAAAAAATAGGAGTCAAGCCAAAAACAGCATATGATCAGGACCCATCTGCACAAAAGCCTAACATGGCAAATGAAGCAAAGACTCAATAAGGTTGAATCATTATCAAATGTTTCCATGACACTTCAGCAGAGGCATAAACACCAGGGGAAAAAAATTCAGTTTGTATTACTGCAATTCAAATCTTGAGGTCTCAACTGGTGGTATATGTAATTATTAGAAATCATGGTGAAAGTTCATTTTTGTGCTGTAATATTTTTCAGGGATAATTAATCATAAGTCAATAATTATTTAAACTAAAAAGTAATGAAGTTTTTATTTCATTTAACATGCTTAGAAATATTTTTTAGTCCAAGAGATAGTCTTAATGTTAAAGCACTTTCTGAATTTATATAAACTGTATTATTAAATACAATATAAATTTTAATATAAATTTTATATTTTTAATTTGTAAATTATTTTATCTATTATTTTAAAGAAATACACATGTGGTGCAAAAATTCTAAGAATTGAGAGGGTACATAGTGAAGAATAAAAATACTCCCTTCACATATACTATTCAAGCTGTAGCTGCCCTCTAAATGGTAAGCATTTTCAACAGTATGTGTACCATGTCAAGTCTATGAATATTCAAGTAGATGCATATATACACACATACACATATCATTTTCAGTTCACAAACAGTTTATACTATGTACACTGCACTGTTCAGTCACTTGACTTTTTTTTTCTTAAGGTAAGCTTGGCATCCTCCTACATCAATACTGAATTTTTTCAACGACGGCATACTATTCCACTATAGGGCTGAACTATAATTCATTTAAACAGTCCTGTACTAATGGACATTTAGATAATCTCCTTTTTTGCTGCCATAATGTTGCAACAAACATCCTTTTATATATTGCTGTGCATTTCTATCAGTATATATGCAGGATAGCGTACTAGACATGGACCTGGGAGGTCACAGATCAGGTGTATTTTAAATATTCATAGCTAATGGGACAAATATAATTGTATTTCTTTGCACTTGCATGTTTTAGAATATGCACTGGATTTGAAAATCATAAACTGCATTTTACTTAAAAATCACCTATTTCAGTAAAGACCACTAACAAACCAAACTTCTCAAATCTTATCAATTATAAAGGCTCTCTATATCTTCAAATAACTTTTGAAGAAGTCAAAAGTATGCTGTATTGAAGTAAGTATTATACACACTAATCTAAGGCAGATGTTGTAGGACAAGAAAAGCCAGCACGTCCTGACAGAGCTGGGCTCTTTGTCGGACTGCCAGTCATAGCTTTATTCCTTATTGTCTCCTTTGTTCCAGAAATAAATCCATTGTCCTTGAAACTTTCTTTATACTCCTTGATCTAATACCATAGCCATAAAAGTACCAATATTTATTTTTAGCTAATTAGTTATAGCTAAAAGAATATCCACCTGTATAAAAATGAACATGATAGTTCATATGTCTATTATTGGCTTATCTTCCTAATGGGAGAAATATTTATTGTAACTTTTTATTCTAGGAAAGTCAAAATAATCATTTATTCATAAAATTCAAAGACATACCACAAGTCATGTGCCCTATATCAAGATCCTCAAAGGAAACTAGACTTTGACAGCTCTAAAATGGGCCAGGAC